GCGCGCCATTTCAAACCAATTTTTGAAACTGTATAAAGGCCTGCAAAACAAACAAGCAAATGTATTTGTCACTGGACATAAATGTCGTTCGGAAAAGAAAATCAAAATTTTGAGAAAGCGCGTGTATAGGCCTAAGCCTACCAACTTTAAATCTCACGATGTGCCAAAAAATTTCAAAATGGAAAGAACCGATCAACTTAAAAACCCGTTCGAATTTTAATTTTCCAACTCGATGACATCGTCAATGCTGATTCAACTGCACAATGTCATCACAGATGTTTTACAGTTCGTTAATATTCTGTGTACATTTCATGTACTGCACAATTCACGCCATACAAAAATGTTAATGTTTAATGCTGCCAGCAACGATGATAAAAATACCCTCAACACATTACACATAAATTCCTGAAAAAGTACATCGACACAACATGCAAAGTGTGATCATGGTAAATTTGTGCACTTTTAAAAATCCTGTTTTCGACAAGACAAATTTTAATAGCGAGGGTTATTTTCGTATTTCTGAAGTGCCTGGAACATTGTTTTCTAGGTTTTTCGTAAAACATGGAGATATCGATTTCGGGTAATGCGCATTATTGATCCGCATTCTCGTCTGTCGTGGCCGATAAAAAACCTCGAAACGTATGCGCAGAACTAGGCTAATGATTAATTTTACAAAAGAAAAGAACACAAAAGTGGAGACCTCCGGGAAATAAATAAAATACATCAACATGCACAAATCTCGCAATGACTGATTAAAAATAATGTTGTTAAACGAAACTAAAACAAGATACACATTAATATAAGAAGGCCTTACACAAATAACTAGAGTTGATATTTTAATTTCTGAGCATGTTAAGAGATGCCACATCTAAATCTGGAATGTTGTTTTACAAATACTACTTCATATATTTTTTTAAAAAATAAAAACAATGGTATTTGATGGTATTTGGAATGTTTTATTGGCCCAATGAGCAGGGTTATAATGATGTAGCGCCTTGAGCACCAATACTGGTGGATACGTGTTTTTAGCCACTTTTCTAATTATTATTAATCTAAAATGAATAATGGAAATTTCGGATGCAATTATAACTTTACTTGAAATCTTGTCTCTTATAATTGATATCAAGTTCAAACATCACGACCAAAAACAAAACCGTTGTATTGATAATCATTCATGAAAAAAGGAAGGTTTAAACATTACAAGTTTAAGTTGAATGACAGTATATTTGCATTAAAATCACTCATAACAGTTACTAGTTCGCTTGCATTCAAATTCATCATCAGTTTCAACGGACAATTTGCAAAATCGGTGTTCATTTTGCAACCAAATCCAATTATGTTATCCCAATCACACCACACACTACGCTACCGAATCCCTACACTCGCCACCTAACCTCCATTCACAAATTCGAGAATTAATAAATTACCTGTGTCGAATCCTCAGCAGAGCCGCGTAGTCTAGTCCGTTGGAGTTGCTCGCGTGCCCCCACGCCTCCCCCACCCCTGAACCATCCATCCTGACAGATACCCTAGCACTTCGATTGACACACACCCTGACAATGCTCCCCACGATCCATCGAAAGCCGTGTTTTTATAAAGCAATGTCTGTATCAGTGATAAACCAACAAAATAAGTGTAACTGTTAGACTCTGTGGGAGGTTTTAAGACAAAAGCTCAGTCGCGGTTGATGCTCAAGGAACCACATTAAGCTGCATCATTAACATCACCCTACTCCTGTATCCACGACTAGCCAGTGTATTATATCTACGTACAGCATACATATTCACGCAACACGACCACACGCGTGGATTGTATACGCGCACCCATTCATCGACCACTTATCACGCACCCACACGCACTCGTTCTTTTGGGATAAAAAAAAAATAGCAACTGTTTTTTTTTTATGATGGCGTTTGGGATTTACGCGGGCTGTATGTTAATATTTCATGAATAAAAGTCGTTTCTGTGCGTTTGTCAAGTGTCAAATACACGCTTTTAATACAGCAGATAGGCGATGGGATTGTGCCATTGATGACAAGCATGGAAGTTGGCACACAGTCAGAGCATGAGAAAGATATTTGGCTGTAGGGCCATCGCAAATTTGTCCTTTAAAAAAAATATCTAGGTAGAATAACAAGCAATGGCAGCCATTTTGAAAATTGATTGTTATTCTACCTAGATATTTTTTTCAAAGGACAAATCTGCGATGGCCCTATGGCCAAATATCTTTCTCATGACATACTCTGACTGTGCGCCAAATGCCATGCTTGTATCATCAAAGGCACAATTCCCCCCAAATATTTCCCTATCTGCCCTACTATTTAATTCTTAAATACAATCATTCGTTATAGGGGCCGAATAAAGTTAGAACAATAGCTCTGAAAATACCTCTTCTGACATACTGAAAATAATCATTCAGACAGAAAAAAATTGCGTTTCTGTGAAAGCAACAAACACCCATCGGCTTTTTGACTCTTGCTTAAAAATGAGCTGAAATATTCATGGAGCCTGGCGCCTAATCATCTCACGCTTGACTAGCCACGCGTTGAACACGATCCCACGACCGTGGCACAAAGGCATGATGGGAAATAGATACCCGTTTCTATGGCAACAATTTAACCTAGCTCTATCCACTGGGATTGGGTTCATTTGAAGGGCAACGCTGCTAAAAATCACGATACAACTGGAAAAAAAGCGGAGAATTATTAAATATAACTACAGTCACCCAAAGAATCATAATCATGCATTTTTCAAACAAACACTGCAATTCGTAAAATAGAACAGCAAAGGTAGATAACAAAAACGTAAAATAAATTATAAAATCACCAGAAATGTTCGGTTTCGACACAGCAAATTTATTTTTGCAATACTGACAGAAACAAAAAGTGACACCACGGTTAACAGTTTTACAACCTTTTTAATAAACGGTTGCTATGGATACCAAATCTAAATTGGAACTTCAAAAAAATATGCGAAAATCCCTAAAGGACACAACCAAAAAGGTGATATCAGTAAAAAAAAAAAAAAAATCTCAAAATATATTCACAAGTGGATAGCTTGCATACAGGGCCAAAGTTTATCATGTTTATGTTGAAAAACCGCTTGATGCACATCAATGACAATGTCTACCAGTATATTTGGGTACAAACAAATTATCTTATTGAGTGGGTGTCCAGGGTTAATAATTAATAAAACCCTGACCTATGACCCCAACAAACTTCAAATAATTATCATTTCCCTGGCAATATTCAATGTACATGTATATAATATGCAACACGAATGAAATTCAGAGAATTATGAGAAAAAAAATGTTCTGGCTTCATTGATACTTGTATTTCACTTTGTGTTTCTAGGAAATGAAAGTGTGGAGCTCATATTCTTGAAAGCAGGCATGCAACTGGGAAGTCACACAAAAAAGAGGAAATTCCAATCTTTCCAAGACTTTGTACACTGTTTTTCTATTTTCAATGGCACACATTGGAAGTGAAAAAGAGGAAATCAGCTGATCGGAGGAAAAGTTGCATGCCTGTTAAAGAATATTAGTTTCATATTCTTATAACCATGGTAACCATTTTTTGTCAATCATTAATTTTCAGCACTGTCAATTTCTGTTCTAAAATCAACCTCTTCCCCAGTGCTTACTTTATTTCCAACCTCGTTTCCAGAGCAGGTAGTGGTGGGCGCATACTGCTGGACACCCTGGGGACGAGGTTGGCTCTAAATAGCTTCGTATTAAAGGGTCATTACAGCCTGAAATACGCCCAATTGGGCTCCAAACGAAAGGGTTTAAAACGAAATGATATTAAGTGGAAAGAGCATTTATTAAGTAAAATATTCTGCGAGAACCATGCCAGAATGAATCTCGGAGGTCACAATGTTGTCCCGAAAAATCGAGCTGTTCAGTGCCAGTTGTGATTCCATCTGTGCAGTGGTCGCCTTCTGCCTACATGTTAGAAACAACATTGGTGTTGTGTCCAATTTATGTGACACACACAACTTGTATCATTCAGGGAAAAACGTACGCGTGCTCTGGTGTGTCCGATGTAAACCACCAGGGTTTTTTGGGGGGGTGTCTTTTCTCGGGAACAGTAAGACATTAGGTTAGTTTCCTTTCAACCAGACCTTAAAAACAGTTATAAGTAAACAATGCAAACATGAAATTTGTAGGAATTGCAGGGCGTAATGCCCCTTTAAAGAGGTTGTGGAATGCTGAAAGTCGTTTTGTTTTTTATATTTTTTTACTGTAGAGTAGACCCAAATATATCATAATGACAAACTCCCATTCTTTTGTAATGTGCGTTTATATGTTTAGAAAACTGATATTCATCGAGTAATTTGTTGGTCGGCGAGCGCATAATTGAAATCAACAGTCGTCGGGTTCTTCGTAAAATCAGAAAAATTGTGACGTAATAAACAGGACTCGTTTATACTACGCTGCATAGGGAGTCCTGTTTATTACGTCACGATTTACTATGTTTTGTTTGCTGCCCCCAACGGCGACTTTTACACAAATTGCACGTTCGGGTCGAAACAGGACCTGAAAAACAGCTCTCAAAAGTACCTTTTGTATTCATTTCATGACAGAAACGATAGTCGTTTTTATTTCATCACACCTTAGGCTACATATACCCGAAAAATGACGGAAATGTCTTCGAGCATTCCACAACCTCTTTAAGCTACTTGTTCAGAGCTACGGCTGTGTCAGCAAGTTCCCATGTAGTACTTGATGAAGTCCTTGACATAGCCACAGCCATGACATTCTGATGCTAGCCATTAGTCAAGGTCGACTTATCATTTACTAAAAAAGTACACATTACCTTCATACCAAATGGCATGCTTCCAGACACAATCATCCCATTATAAAGATGTACCCAGTGCTTTTATGCCATGTTTTATTTTGGGCCCATTACGGAGAAAACCTGTTAACATAACACCTGTCATCACATGATCGTTGCACCAAAACATTGGTCCTTACGACGCCACTGAAAAGATCAAATTGCTAGAATTTCCAAACGCTTTAATACATTTATTGATTTTCCTTTGTAGTCCGCTCAGCAGCCCCGGGCAAATTGAGGTTAAACAAGCTAAATATAGTACCAAAAAATAACGAACCGTGCTTCTCAGAAACAATTAATTTTAATATCACAAGTGAAGAGAATCGAGAGTTCGAGGATTATCCCGCCAACCAACCACAAAATATCATGAAGCATATATAATGGGAAAATTAAAGATATCTGGTGGTTTGTTTTTACTGGTTACCGTGGCAACATAAAACAAAAGTTGACGCTCCGTTTACAAATATTATTTGTCAAAAATGGTTAAAACAGTTAGTTGTAATCACCAAGTGAGGAAAATAAAGTGTTTGGGATTTCTTTTTTTTGGCAAACCCACAACAAATTCTGAAAGGTATTTTAGACTTGTAACGGTGGTTTGTTTCTGTTACCGTGGCAACACACAACAACGGCGATACTCCAGCTACATGTTCCTAAATGACGACACGGCAAGCTACAGTAATTACTTTACATGTTAAACCCTCCATTATTAAGCGTTCTATCCAGCATTGAAGTGGGCTGTCATTTTGATTGTATCGCTCAAAGCTAGCACAGTGCTTATAATATGTGTTATACTCCACATATCAATTCTAATATGCCCGACAGCATTACAAAGCGGTACTTTGATTAGGACAGCTGTTTTAAAGGAATTTCTGGTCATGTTCAAATACTGCTCCCCCCCCCCCCCAACTACACAATTTGTCACCACGACATGGCAATTTACATGAACAACAAAATAACGGGAAAGAATGCAGTATCCAGATGCCATTGCTTTGGTTGTGTACAATGTCGAAGGAGAGTCGATTGAGTGCATTTTCAAAGTAGGCCTATTTTCCCACAAAATTGGAAATGTTTCTCAGTCCCAGATTCATGTCTTTTCAACAATTTGCAATGGCTGACCTTCACTGAGATGATATAATTATGATGAAAAAGCTGGCGTCGGGATGCAACATTCTTTCCAAATCAAGGTGTGTGCAGTATTAATATGCATAATTTGGAGTGTGGAATCTTTTTTTGTTTGAAATTTCTTTAAATAGGTAGAAATTTGAATTTGAAAAAAAAAAAAGTGGAATATGGGTGATGTTCAGAAATTGATAATCTTAATGTTTAAAAGTTTATGGGAAATCATCAATATAAGTGTGTTTCTTGAAGGTTTGAAATTTAGAGTGTGTGGAATTTTTATATAACAAACTGAAAAGGAATGGTGGCAATGAGCAATATCCCACCCAATGTGATCGCCCACATAGAAGGCGGGGAACAAGACCTAGTATATAGATGCACTATAAACGAGTGACGTTAAAGTTGACGGGTTTGGTTACACTGAGAGCACAACGCATAGCAGGAAGCCAGATGCATGATGGGATTACTCCATGCCTTCCACCCCTGCGGCACCGGTCGTCGGCGCGGCCATGCCCGCTCCCTCGCCTCCCGAGGCTTTCTTTGTTCCCGAAACGATGTCGTCGATGCGAAGCAACAACATGGCCGTCTGAAAGGAACAGAAACATTTCATTTCAAAAACACAATTTTTAAAACAAAAATTCCTCAGGTGCCATTTCAAAAGACGAGACAAGTTTTGGAGATTTCCGTTAAAAGTTGATTTGTAAGTGTGCGAATCCGTGAACGGGTGCGCGCAAGCGTCGACACGATGAACACGTCGGTGCAGTGCGTGACATCGCGCAGCTGCAATCGGCTGAATGACAACGTGTCCCAGACGCTGATTTCGGGCGCAATTTAAAACATGACTCTGCAACTTTTGAATTGGAATCGAGACCCTAGAATATTGTTTTCCCAGAATATACAGCATTGATAGAGCTAAAACTTCATCAGGTTAGTTGTTAAGCACCCGTCTATAGATTTGAACACTTTTGTTGCTTTAAACGAAACAAATGCACAAATGACAAATGATCTCCTCTATCTTTAAAGAAAAAAACAAAATGGGAAAAACGAATGTCGCAGTGCATTCACCCCATATTTCAAATCAAACCTCCGATGATTAGTTTATGAATATTCAAATTCCAAAGGCCCATCACTTTTAAACTTTAGAGCGGTCAGTTTATTTATGAGCACAGACATAAAACATGGTCAATGACCCATTACAAGTCCTATTAAAGACAAATTGCTATCGGTTTTTTTTGTCTGGTCAACGACATTTTACAGTACTTCACTTTTATCACACAAAATGAATTAACCTTCAGATAGACAAATTAAAAGACCATTATTTTTCTGGCGAATTGCCAACGTCAATCAAGACTCAAATAGGTATGTTGGTCTAAAATAGCCATCATTGAATACCGCGTAACCATGGTAATATCCTAGCTGTCGCAAGGAAATTCACCCTTGATGTCATTAAAGGGAAGATACAACATTTGCAAACATCACAAAACGAAATGATCAAATAATCACGAATTACCTCACTAGTTTGTTAGGGAATGACAGTCTAAAGCATCCTGTAAAATTGTGACTCCTGGTGTGCTGTCATTTTCAAGAAAAATGGTATTTTTCCAACGCTGGTCGGCTGACCAGCGTTGGAGAAAACTGGCTTTTTTTCAAAAACTGCTCCAAATTTGTCATAATTAGTTATTCCGCGTTTTCTTTGCAATTGTTTACACACCTGTGAAGGGGTACAAGCCTGCTAGACTGATTCTCTGACCTAACAATTTCGCAAAGTCATGATTGCTCCGTTTCATCTAAAGTGGGTCAGGGAACCAGACTACAAGAACACGATTGGTTTTCATGGTTTTTCCAAGCATCTACAAGCCCAAAACTTGAAACAAGTCATTTCAACATTATTTGCTATAACATATTAATCCTCCAAATCCATCTATTTCCAAAAATTGCAGCAAAAGCAAATGTTGTACATTCCCTTTAACAGATTTAATCATTCACAGATTCTCAGATTTTTGGCTCAAAAAGCCAATTTTGTTTAAAATAAAACCGGCCTTGCTTTCCCCAGAGACACGAACGCTGTCAACATGAAGACATCTTCAATGATTGGTCTGTCTTCGTTCCCTGTGCTCCGCGACTAATAAACGATTGCTCGATGTCTTTATTACAACGTTATAATTCACACAGTCGGTGATTACGACAAAAACAGGTGTCGAAATACAGAAATAGAAGAGCTTTTTCATAGCTAGACACAGACGGTTCGGGGCGACGTCGTGAAACATACGAACAACTTAAAATATCAATCAAGACTAAAATCTAATTATAGGTACATCTGTATCAGCTGGTCAAGACACCTCTCTGCTAGCAAAAAAAAATCATTTTTCCTCTTGTAGAAAATTAAAATTAAAAAAAACCACAGACATCGTTTCAGATTTCCCTGGGTTACACTATTTACAAAAACCCAACAGATTTTAGAAAATTATGAAATATAGATTTCATTTTTGAAGCAACAAGGTCTGCTGGGCCACTTTTAAAAAAAATTCATCAAGGAATAGAACTCGATAGATGTTATAAGATTATCATAGATTCAGGCACAGTTCAAATAATTTTTATAATGAAGCAATTGTTTGGATTCGTCAATATTCTACTAATTTCAATTCATCAAACTACTAAAAGATCAAGGAATAGAGCTTGACAGATGTTGTAGGATTTTCATAGATTCAGGAACAGTTGAAATAATTCATATTTCAACCTTACTTTCAGTAATTTGTTAAATTCATCTTTCAACTCACTTTGAATCCACCAAACTACTACAGGACCAAGGAATAGAGCTTGATAGATGGTTTTTTTCATAGATCGAAGGATTTTCATAGATTTGGGAGCAGTTGAAATCATTCATTTTTCTACCCATTTTTGACAGCCATTTTCTATAATTATCAGTATCCAAACCACTGTAATTACACACTCTACCGTTCACTGAAGGGGAGTGTGGCCTAGTGATTAGGGTTCGTGACTCATGATCAGAGGGTCAGGGGTTCCAAACCAGCAGCTGGTTACACGTTGTGTCCTTGAGCAAGCCACTTCACCCCCACTTGCCTCTCTCCACCCAAGAGTATTTATAAATGGGTACCAGCATCAGCTGGGAGTAGCCTGTGATGGACTAGCATCCCATCCAGGGGGAATAGAAATACTCTCAGTCGTTTCAGGCCAAGGAAACTGGAGATAAACGCCGGCCCGAAGGCCCACGTCGGCTCATGACAGACTTTGCTATCATTCATTGTAGCATAATGAACCAGTCAAAGTGCGAACTTTCAACCCATCAAGGCTAAGCGACTTGAAAGGTTATCAGTTAAGTAGACCCGGACAGAATCTGCTGGTACCCTGCGCATGTCACACTGAATATTGTTATCCCAAGGATCGCCGGCTAAATCTAATCAAACAAACTCGACCCAGTCCGCATCTGATACTAAGGTTTTTGTGCATACATTACAAAACTGAGGTGCTTGACAAATCGTTCATTCAATGCAAAAAAAAATAAAAAAATTGGGCAATTTTTGAGTGTGTACGATCATATTGAGGTGTCTGTGTGTAGTAAAGAGTAATTGGTAGTAATTGATGGTTTTCGGGGGTTTTCCCTCATTTTCCCCCAAAAAAATTGAGGGTAGGGAAGGTCAAAATAGGGTACACATGTACACAACTTAGGTAGGGTAACCGGAAGCAGAACTTTTTTATTTGCCTAAGTGATGACTTTTAGTTGGACTTTTGCAACGGGATGACGTCAATTTTAAGTCCTTCGTGTTGGCAAAGAGCCAAATAATATGACTCGGCATTTTCCTACTTTTTTTTTCTGGATATAACCCACCCCGTCTCTTATCACAATAAATTAATTCTGGAAGATCAGTTTTCTCTGATTACAAATACACCACTATGGCCAAAGTGCACGACATCTCGCCAGGCCGGCACGACCGTTACCACGACAATCACTTGACCCAGATGAAGCAACCTAATCCCTACAAACACCCGGAGAAAACCGGGGACTGATACAAGTCTAATCCATCCCGTGGGTCATTCCCAATGCATGTAGACAACCATGCTCTCATTATGCATTCGCATAACAGATTTGCAGTTTGTGGTTTACAATTCATCGGTCCCCCCCCCCCCCATAGAGAAGACAGAGTCAGCTCACGAAGAATACCGGTACCTCGGGGAACTAGGAAGACAAGAGTAATTGAGAAGAGACATGGTTTGGGATGCCAACGAACAGTGTTATGACACCTTGAGCAAATCACAGAGGCTACGGCTTCATCTCAATTACCGGCTACGGCTATTAGTACACACATGTCTATGGGAAGGGGCTTAAGCCGCTTTCCACAGCCGCATATGTTGTTCTAAGCTGTAGCCGGCTATTAGTACACACAGGTCTATGGCAAGGGGCTTAAGCCACTTTCCATAGCCGCATATGTTATTCTAAGCCGTAGCCGGCTATTAGTACACACATGTCTATGGCAAGGGGCTTAAGCCACTTTCCATAGCCGCATATGTTATTCTAAGCCGTAGCCGGCTATTAGTACACACAGGTCTATGGCAAGGGGCTTAAGCCACTTTCCATAGCCGCATATGTTATTCTAAGCCGTAGCCGGCTATTAGTACACACAGGTCTATGGCAAGGGGCTTAAGCCACTTTCCATAGCCGCATATGTTATTCTAAGCCGTAGCCGGCTATTAGTACACACAGGTCTATGGCAAGGGGCTTAAGCCACTTTCCATAGCCGCATATGTTATTCTAAGCCGTAGCCGGCTATTAGTACACACAGGTCTATGGCAAGGGGCTTAAGCCACTTTCCATAGCCGCATATGTTATTCTAAGCCGTAGCCGGCTATTAGTACACACAGGTCTATGGGAAGGGGCTTAAGCCACTTTCCATAGCCGCATATGTTATTCTAAGCCGTAGCCGGCTATTAGTACACACAGGTCTATGACAAGGGGCTTAAGCCACTTTCCATAGCCGCATATGTTATTCTAAGCCGTAGCCGGCTATTAGTACACACAGGTCTATGGGAAGGGGCTTAAGCCACTTTCCATAGCCGCATATGTTATTCTAAGCCGTAGCCGGCTATTAGTACACACAGGTCTATGACAAGGGGCTTAAGCCACTTTCCATAGCCGCATATGTTATTCTAAGCCGTAGCCCGCTATTAGTACACACAGGTTTATGGCAAGGGGCTTAAGCCACTTTCCATAGCCACATATGTTATTCTAAGCCGTAGCCGGCTATTAGTACACACATGTCTATGGCAAGGGGCTTAAGCCACTTTCCATAGCCGCATATGTTATTCTAAGCCGTAGCCGGCTATTAGTACACACAGGTCTATGGGAAGGGGCTTAAGCCACTTTCCATAGCCGCATCGTATGTTATTCTAAGCCGCAGCTGATGGCTTAAAATTACACACGTGCGTATGGAAGCGGCTGCACTTCCTATAGACTCGTGTGTAATTTCAAACCGTAGACAAGTAAATTCAGACACGTCTTGGATCTATGAGAGAAGCTTGCTCGTCAAAAATTCCAGCTTGGGATTTTTGTAGATTCGCTAATATTTCAAA